ATAGAGGGTTTCCCCAGCCCCAAATCTCCACATTCTTTCTTCAATTTTTGAAAATCCACCTCCCAGCTAACTACTTGATCCCTCAAACACCCGCTGGAACAAGTATAGAGGAAATTTCTCATAATCTTCTCAACTATGCTAAGCCACACCCATACAAATTCTAAACGTGGACACATAAACATAAGAGCATGCTAGACAAGCAAGCTTCAAAGAGAGGACTCACCCTCCTAAGGAAAAGGCTCTTTTCCAACTCTCCATTCTCTTAGAAATCTTTAAAACAATTAGGTCCCAAAAGGTAGTGCAAGGGCTTCAAAATGCTATTTAAACACCACACCAACACGCTTGCCCTACAAAGGTCCACTACTTTTGGTATCATAGAAGTGGCAAGTATATGCCTTCCTACAAGAAAAGCACTCCAGTTTCTATGAAATAGTATCACCAAGGGCATCCCCCAACTCATGACAGGACCTTCATAATAATTTTCTAACCAATAGGCACTAAACTTATGGGCCTACAATTAGAAACCTTATGGACATGTCTCTCATGCAAACCATAGTGCTGAACCTAGACAAAGAAAATAGCACAGCATCCCACCTGGAGGCTTTTTCCTTCATGAAGTCCCACACAACTCCTTTAACCTTGATTTAATCAAGCTGCCTCTCGAACTAGGTTCACTTTCTTCCATCAATGGGGCTTCAATTTACACCCTCAATTACAGGTTGCTGGGGATTCTCTTACCTATAAAGAAACATGACACTTGGACCAATGGACAAAGCTTGACACAATTTTCCCTGCTTCCTTCCAGCTCCTTTATCAGACTTGGCTCCCACAACCTCTAGAAACCTTGTAAAAGAGGCCAAAGTTACCACTTGCCCTCTTTAGAGTAGTCTTTAGCCTCCAACTATCTCGTCCTTAACCAAATCCTAAAATCTGGAATCCTATAATCTCCTCACCTATAAGCTATCCACTATCTACATTTTGGTCTCTTAGAAAAGAACAATATGGCTTACTCAAATAACCACCTCTCCTACTTTTTTACACTTCAAGGGATTATCCAACTCGTTTACTTTCCAACAAATGAACTTCATAATACAACAGCTTTACCCCTTGTTCTTCGAATATCAATGATGAATTGTGGTAGCTTTCCCCTTTCTCATCATCCCTACATTTTCTAAATATACATAGACACTAAGGCTACATTTGATATATTGAATAGATTAAGGCAAGAGGTAGATAAGACTCCTCCCCCTACCTTATCCAGTATGTGAAAGAAAATACTTTTTTTATGGATAAGTTAAGACACTACTCACCCTAGAGTGGATAGTGTGATTTATTTTATAACAGGTGAAATGAATACTTATCCTGATAACTGTGTTTTAAAAATACTAAAATAAGGTGCCAAAAGTTTTTTCTTCCATATCTACTACTTGACGGGAATATCACGACCACCACCAACACAATCACTCTACTTCTATTGTCACAATCATTTCCACCACCACCATCACTATGTCATTGTTGTTGTTGCCAATCCCTACCAGCATCACACATTGCTATCGCCATGCCAAGCATCACTATTACCATATCAACCACTGCCAAGTATCATTGTTGTCATCACAACCACTGTTACAATCATTGCTACTAGTGTTGTCACCACTGCCACTTTTATGCCTCCTCGGTTACCATAATCCATCACCACCACCCGCAGCCACCATTGTCGCTACTAATATTGTCAATGTTGTTACAATCATCATCACTGCTATTATCACCTCTGCTATTATGGCACACACTTCTGTCATTACCGCCATTTCCTTTGTCGTTTTTGTTGTGACCATTACTACCACCATTATTATTACCACTATTACTTCGCCTCCATCACCACCACTCTATCACTACCACTTCCACTGCTTCTCTACCATCGTCGCAAATTACCGTCAATGTCACCATTGCCACCTCTAGTTTTGCTAACGCCACCTCTGCTACAATAGATGTCGCCACTGCCATTGTACCCACCACCAATACCATCAATTATTAATATGAATTAGAAAAAGAGTAATGTAGTCTTTGTGCTACTACTCGTCTCCTTGAACTAATCATCCTAAACATATAGTAAGGTAAGAATCTTATCCATATATAGTTTACATTACCTTACCGAACTAACTATCTTACCCAAGCCACCTGTGCTACTACCAAGGTAATTTATTGTACCTCAAGAATCAATAAGCTTGAAATCTAGCTTCTTTAGAATGGTTGAAATCCCTTATGTTTTCACCTTCAGCAAAGACAATCCATAGAATTTTTACATGGTTAGCATCTGTTGTTACTCAAATAACCACTGGTTATCTTCCCACCCTCACTTCCAACAACTTAAGTCATAACACGCATGGTTGGGTTAGTTAATACAAAAAAGAAGAGTTAGGTTAAAGAGAATGATGTTTCATCTTGCAAGAAGGTTGTACGGTGAGCTTTATGCATCAAAATTCTCTATTTTGAGAGAGAAATTACTCAACAGTTTAACACAGATTCCTCGATATTGAGACTACCAAATACAAAATTTGGAGGTTGTCTTCTTTAATCGCCTATCCATTTTAGAGCTTCCACTTTCCATACATTTATTTTCTTGAAATAAATCTGCCTCCATTTCCATGTCCTCATCATCAACCATCAAAATGATGCCACTATCAACTGAAGAAGAATCAGTTGGAGGTATCTTCCTCTTATTCTGTTTCAACTTCTTTCAAATTATGAACAATTAATCATAAGCTATTATCCTCTTCTAGGTTACACTGCAAAATTTTCCCATTTTGGTTCTCTTTCTAAATCTGACCCAGGTTATATTCTTCATCCACAATTTTCCCTACAAGCCAAACCTCTTGTCTGATTACAATAAAAAATGTTGCCTCTTTGATGTTTGCTTAATCACTCTGGTCAAGAGCAATTTTTCCAATCACTTTCTCTTGGTCAAACAGTTACAATTATTGTACTAATGAAGCATAGACATCTCGTAAACTAGCTCATTACTGAATCTAGTTGGATGATCTTTCCTAACCCACTAGATAATATTATCTAACTTTGTCTTGAGAGAGAAAATTTTAATTTTGCTTGTCTGCGTGAAGCAGCAAGGTAAAGAAAAGGCCATAGATCCTTTCCTACCAGAAAGTTCCCGGTTATTGAAAAGAATCCTTCAATATTGGAATTGAAGCAACAAGTCTCCGCATTTCTTTTACATAAGAAACAACCGTTCACCATTTTTTTTCCCTTTTCATCAATTTGTCTATTGTCAGTAGACAACCCCTTCCGACCTCCCACATGAAGAAAGTAACTCTAGGATGGGCTTTGCCCTCCAGATTTGTTGAACAGGAAGCCTGATTTATGTGGCATCATGCTTAGCCAGGTAATGATAGAAAAACTTGATCCAAAAAGAGACTATGGCATTGAGACTCCATGCTAGTTGGTCATTGCTACCATTTGTTGACACGAAGGATAGAATATTGAAAAGAGTCTCATACTCGTTAATCTCCCAATTATTGAGATTTCTCAGCACATTTACCTATCACTCCCCTTCTCTCCCTATATTTCTAAATGGTTCACTAACCATTATATCTTTATGTCGTGCGATAGCAAAAAATTTGAGGAAACTGATCCCTAAATGCTCATCCTTTTAGCCACGGATCCTGCTAAAATTTAATTTTGTCTCCCTTGCCACCCTCTAACTAATGCAAACAAAAATAATGACTATCCTTCCATAGGGTGGAGGAACAAAGGCTTAGAAGTACTCTTTCTTTGATGAAGGAGCTTGAGAGTCCTGATTTTATAGATGGTGAGGGCACTCTATCCCCTGGAGACAGTGAGATAAAGGAGAATGTCTATCCAAACTTGGCAATAGAATTAGAATGGAAGGTATTTTTTGGGTGCGAAAGTCGAAGGCAAGATCGATTAATCAGAGAAATAGAACCATTAAGTCCCTCCATATGGCCAAACATCAAACAACCAATTATATAGAGGAGTTGAAAATAAATAGATTAGTGGTGAATTGGAAATTCAATTGGTGATAGAATTCAATAAAGCTTTACAAGGTAAATAGTTGTGGAGATCCTTGAGAGAAGCTGGAAGGATGTGGAGAAGGGTGATTTTGGCTAGATGGCAGAATTGTGCATTAACGGGTGTGGGCTGGGTGGACAGAAGAGAGCACGACTTAAGCTTATGGAAGAAAATCAAGATGGGCCGGCCTGAATTTAAGGAGAACCTGACATGGAAAGTGGGAAGAGGAAATGGCACTAGATTCTGGCCTCATCGATGGTTGGAGGGGGTTGTCTAAAATTCTGCTATCCTAGAATTTATGCGCTTGCACAATCCAAAGATATACTGGTGGAGGAGGCCTATTCGCAGGAGAATAACAGTTGCACCTGGTACGTTATTGTAAGCAGAAATTTGAATGACCAGGAAGTGGAGTATGAAAATATGTTGAAGAAAATTTATGATTATCAAATTGGCAGCGATCTGGATCAGGTGCTGTGGAGGGGGAGCAAAAACGGCGAGTTCTATGTTCACTCTTACTACTGCAAGCTGATGGGATATTCTCTGAATATCTCCCTCAATTTTCCTAGCAAATTAATCTGGAAAAATTCTGCGCCCCCTAGGATGGCATTCTTCGCCTGGGAGGCTTGCCGGGAAAGCATTTTAACCTTGGATAAACTGAAGGCTAGGGGTTTTACGTTGGTGGATGGTTGTTTCATGTATCTGAGGGAAGAGGAAGACTGCTGTCACCTTCTGCTTAGATGTCCTACTGCTTACGAACTTTGGAGCTTGCTGTATC